TGCCTTATGATTTAATGCATTTATTACCATAGTCCCTATTTCACATAACAGAGAAAGCTTTGTGTCTGTTTGATTAGGCACTTGGAAAGGTGTTCACTAGTCTTAGAGCATATATTAAATCTACATTTTATTTAAAAACTGGTAACTAGTCCAACTATTAAGTTACAGAAATGTCATCTGCCATTTTGCCAAACTCAGTAGGGCTGCCATGTTATTACAGCATTTAGTAAGTACTGTCAGTAAACAAGTGGTTCTTGCTAGAGTGATTAAATTTAACATTGCACCCTATTGAGGTTTTGGAGGTAGGTTGTGTATTCAAAAGGCCCAACCTACCAACAGACCTTAGAACACCTGCTTGTGCATTCTGAAGTAAAGCCTATTTATTTATTTATTCCCTCTAAACGAAATCCTACAGGGAGCCAAGTGCTATTTTCAAGTCAATGGACACTGAATGCAATCAGCACTTCATAAAATCAGGCCCTAAATCTTATTAGATGAGTGATGTTAGTACAGTTGCCAACCCTCCAGGATTGTCCGGGAGTCTCCAGGTATTAAAGATTAATCTTTAATTCAAGATTATGTCATGTGATGAAACCTCCAGGAATATGTCCTACCAAAATTGGCAACCCCAGATGTAAGGCTTACGAAAGTAAACGCTGTGCCTCAAAATATATGTATATTTTCCTTTATGATGTACGGTAGCATGCTACTAAAACATGGACCCTACCTGGTAAAGAAAGCTTTTAATCACACTGATAAGCAAGAGGATCGCAAACATTAAAAAAGTTACAGTACTAACGTCTGTCTAGAGCTGAACACTTTCCACCAGTTCAACATCACCATAACATCAACAGCACCAAAATCCTGCAAATTAACTGAGAATCAGTACATTCTAATTGAAAACAAAATATCTAATGAACCCTGGAGACAGAATGTATACACGCAGCTCAGGAACAAAATAAAGTTAAGAGAAACCCAGACAGAATGCTTAATATGTCAAGAACAGAAAATATCTTTATCCTAAATTAAATGCAACAACACAAAACTCCTTGAAAAGTGTCATTGAGAGTGGCACAAAAATACACATTGGTTACAATATAAGGAACTGTAGCCTATGAGTACTTCTGTGTCCCTGTTAATACTCACATTTGCTGTGACGTAACCTGAGACACAACCTTCCTTCTGCAGGCGAGATTAGTTAAAATGAATTGCACTTTATCCAAATATTATTATTGTCAGCTGCCATTTTTTATTTACATGCATGTAACTAGTGCCCTAATAAAGAGCAGAGTGACCATATGCATCACATGGAGTGATGTTTCAAGGCAGCAATGTAGAGTAACACAAACCCGCAGAACAGTATTAAAAATAATAAAGAGATTTACAGTGTTTAAAAGTAGCATTAATTTACAAAAAAAAAAAAATCACTTTTTTAAAACACAGTGAATTTTAAACATCCCTGTAACAGAAGATTAGTGTATTATCTGTATATACAGAGAAAACCAAAAGTTTGGCACTTATAACAGCTTTCCTTTTGTTATTGCATACTACACCGTGTATGGCAAATACATAATACCAAAAACAATCATTCTGTATAGACTGTATATTTATGGAACTACTGAATAGAGAAACTGCACTTAAAACATAAAAATTCACTTTTGTACCATTGTGCAATTACCAAGACATGCAAGCACAAGAAATACTACAAAAAATAATAAAATAAAAATTAGAAAGTACTACTACTTAACTCCTTTGAAAAAATGACTAAACTGCCTGGGATTTTTTGGAAGGGGAACCCAATGTATAAAGGTAAAGTCAAGGGCTGCAGTAGCTTTGATGAATATCCACCTTTTATATTTCCAGCAATAACTCCGACTCATAAGACAATGTCTGAACATGCTTTTGAGTATTATGATTCCACAGGCCCACAGAACCAAGTTTGTCTGCAGTGATTAATAAATAAGCTTTTAAAAATTGGGATTAATTTCCAGATTCATCTTCTTTTCTTGTTAGTTTTAAAGAGAGCTTCAGGGCTACTGCAAGTCTCTTGATTGAGGACAGCAAAGTTGACATGGCATTGTCAGGATAAATCATGTGCTGTTGCTGGGAAAATATTAAAAGGAGAAATGACCTGTTTTGCTATAGTTAAGCAGAGGACTCTTAACTAGAGCTGTATAAAGGGTAAACAAGCAAAGAGGTTGTGAATTTGAAATCCAATCTAGCATTGGATGTTCAGCAGCACAAATTTCCCATGTGATTATACAATGTGTAGAAACAGACTTGGATTCCAAGGCTTAAAAGACCAGAGACTGGTTACTACACTGATGCCACGCTGGTTGGCTGGGGAGGAAAAGGTGCCAGGTGGATCTTTCTTTAGCCTTTGCCAGAGTCCTCAAAGCAAAACTTTATCAGAAACCACGCACTATACTAGTTATTTCTGGTTTTGAACTTGCCCTCTATCCTTCTAGCAAAGAAGCCACAGGCTTACACTCTTAAAACAGGAATATGACAGTGTTAAAGTTGTTAAGGTGGCAGAACCATTAACCCCTTTTTATTTTATTTATTTATGTTAATAACTTGTCAAAACATTCACATTTTATTCTGAAGTTCTCAATTCTAGGGCTCCACCTTAAGACAAATTTTTTTTGGTAAAGTGAACAAAATCCTCTTTTTATTTATTTATTGTAAAGTTCAACCTAAGGGAAAGAAACACAAACCACCACTATTCCCATTTTCATTTTTTTTTTTTTTTTTTTTTTAAAGATTTGGCTAAAAAAAAAATGGCTGAAGTTTGAAACTTGACCCAAACAATTCTCACTGAGGCCTTTGATTTTACAAAAAATACTTTTGATTCAAGACACGACCATTTAAAAACTGCATACTAAGCATGCATGATAGATGTTTTCCTTAACGCATGCACTGTGTACATAGGAAGTTAACTGTACACTTAAATGTACAATCATTGGTTCACGGAATTTAGGTCCCAATCCTGCAGTAGCTCATAGAACTATTCACATGCTTAAAGTTAAACGTGTGTAGGTGTTTCAGAATAAGTGGCTTAGACTCTGTCAAATCCAACAGAGTATTTTAGCTACACAAGACAATTATTTTATTTTCCTTTTTCAGAAAATGCAAAAATCACCCTAATGTTCATCCTACTTTACCTTGTTAAATGTAAACTAACATTTTACTTATTAACTTTTGCCATAAAACATGGCCAGAGCACACAGAATTTGGGATTTATTTAAATTTATTTTGTGCATTTACTACCCAGTCTTGCTGGGCGATGAATGCCATTAGCTCTCACTAATTTCAGTTCTCAGGAGGTACTTCTTGCAAGATATTAGATAAAGTTTTCAAAAGCATCTAAATTATTTAGGAGCCAAAATTCATTTTCAAAGTGACTTGGGTACTTAGGCTCTTTAGACTTAGGGCATGTCTACACACAGCCGCTATAGTGGTATAGCTCTGGCCGCTGTAGTGTGGATGCTTCCCATATCAACAGAAGGGGTTTTTCAGTGAATGTAGTTAATCTACCTCTTTGAGAGGCACTAGGCAGGTCACCAGAAAGCTCTTCTGTTGACCTAGCTGCATCTAAACCTGGGATTAGGCCAACCTAACTACGTTGTACTGTGCACACAATTTTTCACAGCACCACTATGCAATGTAGCTGGGTTGATCTAATTTTACATGTAGACCAGGCCTTAGGCTCCTAAATGACTAAATCGCTTTTGAAAACAGAACTTATGTGATTTTGAACATTTTACCTTAATCCTTTAATTTATAAAAAGTGGGAATCTTTACAAACTTTTTCAACACAAAATCTAAAGATGGAAACAGCAGTTTACATTTTTGTAATAAAGCATAATATAACAAATCTAAAGACAAATACTAAGTCAAGTAAATTTCTACTACAATGTGTAAAAAACTATTAAAAATATACGGATTAAAAATAGGTTATTGTATACAGTTCAGATTCTGCAGCACTTCAGCATTACAAAAATCAAGGGACTAAATCAATAACTGCAGGTAGAATTTAACTGGATTATTCTGTTACCATTACAGAATGATGATGAAAATTAGTAAGTCTTGGAATGTTTCATTTAGGAAATTTTAGATAGTTGAACCCTAGCTATTTTGTTCTAGTTGTGGTCTGTATTTGAGAAGATTATTTAGGATGGATCAAAGGAGTTAATCTGGATTTATACGTGTATGACGGAGGGCAAAACCTGGCCCACTGATTTTTGGTTGAGGAGGTCCTTCAAAGTTTCAGAGTGGAAAGAACAGTGTCTTGTAACAGTACCAGCAACACTACAAAGTATTAGAAGAGTCTTTTTAGGGTGGAGATAAGGATAAGTTTCAACTGCATTTCCAGCTCCCTTTTTCCCCCCCCCCCCTTTCTTTTTTTCTTTTCTAGTGCGGTATGTCACCCATTACACGTAACAAAAATGAAATTAAGTAATGAGGTAAAGTGTGTTCTACCAGCAGATCTTTCCTATTAACCTAACTCCATTAAATATTACTTGCAGTGTTAACAAGACTTAAAAGGAAAAAAACATAAGACAATAAATTCTTCACTACAACTGCATTCTAAAACAAGCTTTCAAAGCCAAGCAGCAGTAATCAAGACTCTGTACCTTAGCACAGAGGTCATCAGTAAACCAGCTTCTGATCCCAATATAAGTTGCCTGTATAATTTCCTTTAAAGCAGGAACCTGAAATCAAGTTTTCACAATACATATATATCCTTTTTAATGCCCCACCTTTCCTTCTCCCCTTTTGCACAAATACACGTCCTCAACACTGCAAACTTGCAGTGATTTTTAAGTTAGCTGAAGGGAAAAGGAGTCCTTTTTCTCTCTGAAAAGCAACTCATGTGCTGCATTCCTTTACCAGCCACAGTAAAAGTGTGACATATTCCACGCCTCAGTCCTTCCCTTTATTTCAGTAATTGCAGCTTCCGAAATCCACACAAAGAATGCATGCTGGCCCACCAATACACGGAATCTTCAGACCATTTGAATGACGCAGTGTAGAAAAACAGTTTACACATCTATAATATATTGTAACTCTTAGTTCAATTTTAAATATATTTAAAAGATCCTTAGGAATGAAAACATCGGAAATGAATGAAAACACATGTACACCTCCACCCTTGTAGGCACAGACCTTGACTAGTGAGGAAGGGCCAGAAATAAAGGTGCAATAACCAACATCTCCTTCCAGCCGATTCAGATGAAGAACAGTCTTGCAGTATACCAGAGAGATTGGTTTTCATACAGCATATCTATGTATTAAAGCTATCCAGTTGAAGATAGCATGCTAACTCTTATCAATTCCCCTCAGGAGAAATGCACCTTAAATTTTTTTTACGTTTCAATACAATTTGTTATATTACCCATTCCTTCCTGCTTCAGACACAAGGAACTCCTTCATTAGTGTAGTTTAATTGTTTAGATAGTTAGGACTGAAGGTGTTCTCTTTGTCATGGTATTTTTTTGTTTAATATACAGCTATTTATCCCCCAAACAAGAGCTGAGACTCAAGTTTTTAAGCATTTTAAAACAAACAGAAACAGATACCATACCAAAGCACAGCATATAATGTAAGTTTCAGTTGCAATAGCTTTGTTTTTCCTTATATAAAGCTATGTTATGGTGGACTGTGTCAGGTTCTTCCCATCTCTTCCATTTTTAGAGGACTAATCATGGGGAAGGAACACGAATACGGAACAATCCTTGCTGAAGCTGCAGTCGGAAAAGCTTGCAGTTTGCAATCCGCAAGGCCGCGCAGCCAGTGCGGCGAAGGTCTGATGGAAATAATGGTTTAGTATGGTGCCAAGTTCCTGTGCTCCTTTTAAACTCTCTAACGTAGTCATAATTGGTACCTGAAGTTAAATAAAAAAAACAAATTCATTGCACACTCAGTTACACAGTATCAAGCAATTTAAGTCTAATGATGCCAATATATTCCCAGACCAAATGGAAAACAAAAACTGTTCTGATCAATTTCTGAATATGTTGGCGGAACAGTTTTCAAAAGAAAGTAAAGCTGAGAAAAACCTGTATTTAAAAGAACAAAACTAAGGAAAGAGCAGCAACAAATTTGGGACCCATTTTACCTTATTTTCTGGAAGTTCAGTTACACATAGGTAGCCATGAAAGTAAGCTAAAAATCTTTCAAGAGCCAGTAGAGAGGTAGGTGACATCAAGAGTAATTAGTTTCAAACATTTGGTACAGGCAATACCAACTTTAGAAGCTGCAATGTTTGAGGATTTCAAAACACCAGTGGGATGGGTTCTTTGCTGGAAGATGGAGCATTCCATGTGAAAGAGAACATCCAGGAAAAAGAGGCTTAGCAATTATGATTAAAATATATATGTCGTGTTCATATGAAGCCTAGTTTCTGTTGTGACAGATCATCATTTTGGGCAAGTTCCAAAGCAAAGAATTATAATACAGGCCTTTGAAAAAACACGTGGAAAACAAAGTCAGACATTCACCACAAGTAAGGAATAGGTCCATATACTTCAGAAGCTAAAGAGAAGTTCTGTGGATGTACAAATCAATATCCTACACAGGATGTATTGAACTAATTATCTAATGTTTCAGAGACCAGTATCCCACTCTAATCATTACTGGAAGTGCCATGGGTATCTGCTCTTCTTCCTTTAAACTGCTATAGCGATTTCTTAGTATTTACTTGGTAACTATGCCAGCTCCGTGCGGCAGATGTAAACTGCACATTTATAAAATACTTAGGAAAAAAGAGCCCTATGTGAAAAACTAAGCTTTTGATCAGTTATGCACACAGTTTTATAACAGTACTAAGAAAGTACAAACACTCACTGCCATGTTTACAAACTATTAACTCCCAGATTTTTATTATATGCAGTGTATTCACCTGTCTCTTAAAAATTCATTGAGAAATAAAAAGTTACTTTTGTAAATGTTTTATAAATGTTTATAGTTTTTAGAAAAATTACTTTTAGAACATGGTTCTCTGCTTTTTCCTCATTCTTCTTCTTCTTCTTTAGCATTGCCATTTTGCTTTAAAGCTATAATCTACTCAGTTACATATCAAGAGTCAGGATTTTTTCCTTCAAACAGTAAAATATTACATCTTGAAGAGATAAACTAGTGTTTAGTTTAACTTGTAACACTAGTTTCTAAAAAGTTTCCTAGATAACTTCATTATTCCCCTTTCTTTCAAATGTGTGGTGATTATCCTTGGTATATATTCTCTTAGCAACATTTACTAGTGCAAAGAAGCAATGACATCGTTGCAGAAATCTCCACAGCATAATCCTACTACGAGTTGTTATTGTTACTCAATTTGTAGGCTAGTCAGATGCACAAAGTTGCTGACATACCAATGACAATGATTTTGAGGAACAGTTAAGGAGGTTGCTTCTATATTGTACACACACAAATCCAAGAACTTGCTATTAGCCTTGGTCTATTTTCCTAACCTTAGCAGCAGTAATCAACCAAAATATCCTAAAAGAATTCTTAAAACTTCTGTGGCATTTTAGATCGTGTTGGTGCTCAGAAATACAAAAGTAGGATTTCCAGCCAAAAGGCTAAATTCTGCTGTTAGTTATCTGTCAATTTAATATAACACCACCCCCACCTCCAAGGCCAATGGCAACTGAGAGCACAATGTGACTCAAAATCTTGAAACCTGTACCAAAATATGAAATCTTACTCTTTTATTCTAAGAAGTCAATTTAAATAATTTTAAAACTTAAGAAAATTAGAAGAAAACAAGCAACCTGAAGTTACTAATTCTGATTCTAACCTGTATCAAGATCTCCAATGACATAAATACTGGCCCCAATAGGTACAGCTCCATACACAAAGGAAGAACTGGCTGGGATGCATAAGTTCTGATCATTTAGATAAATCCACCTGTAAGAAAAGGCAAAAATTTTGTATACGAATTATTGACAAGATCTGTGAGCTAAAAACTCAGAAGCTTTTCAACGAACAGTTTTACCAATTATAAACGTCAGCAAAATCATGCAAACTGACATTTTAGAAAGAGGCTCCCACTTAGTCCTTGTCTATCAGCAAAGATATTGTGCAATAAGCTATTCAATTATTCCACAATAGCTCCCTGTGTGGACGTTATTCCAGAATTCCACATGGGGAGCTATTCTGAAATAGCTTATTCCACAACAGCTATGCCGGTCAATTTCCTTGGGTAGACAAGACTTTAGCAAGCTTTGAAAAGTCTCGGTCTAATACTTGCTTTTACATCTGTGCTGATTTTAGGACACAGTACAGGAAATAGCAAGCTCTTATACAATGTTTTTCTTACCAGACACTCCCCATATCTCCCCCCCTAAAATTCTCATGCCAACCATGTAGTCCTACTCAGTCATCATCAGAAGTAAATTACTACTTAAGAAGTGTGCAGCAGTTGATGAGTTTTATTTTTAAACCAGGAACAGGACAGTAGATACTCTGAGATTGCTAGAGGATTTTTGGTAAGTGAATGAAATGTCTAGCCTTTTCGGACAGGAAGACAGTTTTTCCAATTTTATATCATGCTCTATTTGGTTTCCACCCCCGTTGAAATACTAGGAATCACAGCTGTTTTCTCATTAAAGGGATCCCCCATCTTCAACACTATGTCAGTCTGACTTTCTTACTGACTGAAGACCAATTGTTCCTACAAATACCCTTGCGAGCCAGAAAACTAGTGTGTATTCATCACAAATATGCTGACAAGACTAGTTTATACCGTTGTCTGCTTGTAAATACCTGAAGTACAGAGCTGCCAATTTAATTGTCTCTTCCATGGTTTTGAAGCAAACCTCTACAGATTCCTGCCACATTTCTACAGATGCTGATGTACTTTTATTTACAGTTCAGAGCAGCATAATCAAGACTACTTAAAAGAAACCTTACATGGGCCATAAAAAACAATATGGGTAAGGACAAGAACATTTGAGAAAAAAAAAAATCTAAAGGAGTCCTGAAGATTTTGGATAAAATGCCTGGAGAGTTAAGGAAAAATATCCCTACAGATGTTGCCGACTCTTTTGTATTCCTGTACCATCCCCATTCATTACTCAAAAGTAATTCTTTCTTGATTCAACTCAGTCAATTTGAGGGGAGGTTGATATACAAATAAGTTATTTTAAAAAGAAACAGAACGATTTGTAAGGGCTGATTAAAACTAAGAATTAGATGCCTACATTTCTACTTTGCTCTGAGCTTTCCGTAGCATATGACAGAAGCTCACTCCAGTCTTACGATTCAGTACATTCAGATTTATATCTTTAAAACAAGCAAATAGCATCATACTTTGTTTAAAACAAGGAGAAAGGACAGTCTTGTGCTCAGGTACAGGGCTAAGAGTCAGGAGACTTGGGCTGTATTCCTGGCTTCTTTTGGGTAAGTCACTTAATCTCTCCAAAATATCCTTTCTAATCACCACTGGTCTGGAACACATTGGTAAACACACCAGTGCATTACCAGGGTCAGTGCTACTGCTGTAAATAATTTGTTTTAAAACCCATCCCTTTATAGAAGCCCAACCTTCAAACCTAGGAGGGGGGAAAAAAGCACACAAGTTAGTCCACTAAAAAATTGTAGTATCTTCCTCTGTGTGGGCTCAAACTACTTTGGAAATATCTTTAGAAAAGTGCTTCTGGGCCGCTGCGCTGCATTCCAAGTTTCATCTAGAGTAAATTTTTATAGCACAGTTATAAATCCCTGAAAAAGATGTGCTTGTAATGAAAACAGCTGTTCAAACTTAAGAGCTGTGTAGCAGCACAATCGGGAGACCTCATAATTTACCATCAACAGCTGTTGTATCATTTCACCTTGAATAATGCACCCTTTTAAACTCATAATTTTAGTTCTAAACTGCCATGTATATATTGCATTGATTTCATCAGCAATGCAGACATGCAATACTGAGGTTTGTCTATAGAAGGTTCATTGATTGAGTAATAATGTTTTCACCCCTCAGCTCATAGAGAGCCAAGAAGCGATCATTGTTCCCCAGTTGATTTGAAACATTTGAATTATCATAGGATGGATGGTAGTTTTCTTTCCACTGTTTACAGGCAACATATGTAACACACATTGTAACTGCTACTTTTTCCAGGGATCTGGGAGGTGGTGGTGTTAAAGTGCATAAAAAACCCCCACTGGCATGTCCAACTACAGTTGACACTAATGTCAGTGATAGGACTTCTTCTTTCCTCCAGCTTGCATTCACACTCCCCGCCACATCAGCCTTCCTCAAGTGTTGTCTTAAGATGATGAGCTTTCGATCATGCCTTGAAAGTTAACATGGATGGATAAGTAAATTCTAAAGTCACCAGGCCCGCCCTTACAGAGAACAGCCTCCCAACAGCTCCCTCCTATGGACCAAGGGAAGCTCCAGCTTCAGTGCTTCCACTGATCTCAGCTGTGGTAGTATGGTATAGAGAGAGGCAGGGCTTTTTAGTTTGTTCCCACCCCCTACCCCCCCTCACACAACTTTTATGAAAGGTGGATACAAATATCTGCTCTGCCTGATTCTCTCCATCCACCAAGTTAACTTGACGCAGACTTTACCAGCCTATTGGGTCTCAAAGTCTACAACAGGGGTCAGCAACGTTTGGCACGCGGCTCACCAGGGAAAGCACCCTGGCGGGCCGGGCCAGTTTATTTACCTGCTGACACGGCAGGTTCGGCCGATCGCGGCCCCCACTGGCCGCGGTTCGCCGTCCTGGGCCAATGGGGGCGGCGGGAAGCCACGGCCAGCACATCCCTCGGCCCGCGCCGCTTCTCACCGCCCCCATTTGCCCGGGACGGCGAACTGCGGCCAGTGGGGGCCGTGATAGGCTGAACCTGCCGCGTCAGCAGGTAAATAAACTGGCCCGGCCCGCCAGGGTGCTTTCCCTGGCAAGCCGCGTGCCAAACGTTGCTGACCCCTGGTCTACAAGTATAGGTTTCAAGATCAGCTGAAATTGACAAAAGCTCCAATTACTCTGCTTGTGGCTACTCACTCTAGTTCCCATGGAAACTCATAGTGAATCGCTATAACCTGGAAAAAGGACTTTTAGGTCTAATTCACCACTGCAGGGTTACTTTAAAATGGTGGGGTTTTATTCATGTATATAGCACCAACTGGTACAACATCTGGGCATCTCGCATTATTTAACAAAAACAAACCACATACACAATGTATTTTGTGTGTAGGGAGAAAACCACAGCCAGTTCTTCAGGAGCCCAAGGACAAAATTCACAATGAAAGGCAACATGAAACAACTGGTCCTATCACAGCACTCTAGAAAAGTTCAACTGTTAAGCCTACCAGAATAGTTGTGTTCACAATGCCCTGCGGGCTACAAACTTGTGAATCAGATGAAGAGAGAGTTTTACAGACAAACACCCTCTGCTGCAAACACACTGCTTCCCTTCTGTACCCCTGTGGGAGCTGTATGGAAACAACCCCCTAGTGTTTTTGGCAGTTTTACATCTCTTTACATGAATGAAGGGGATTCTGCAGAAAGCACCAGATCTTTTTATAGCTGCAGCTGAAGAGATATGGGGCAGGAGAGAACCTTCTACCATCAACTACCCCCCTACAGTGCAGACACTTTAGGAGGGCAGCTTCATTGGTTCTCTTCCACCTCCCTCACTAAAGGACAGTCAGGGAAGCATAGATTCTAAGATTTCATTTTTGCTTCCACCTACTGCAAGGAATGGATATACCAATATTTTCACTACATCCGAGAATCTACTTCTAGATTAGATATAGATAAACTGACAAAAAAAATTGAATTTGAATAAAAGGCAAATAAGGGGGGGGGGGAATTTAATTTGATTTACAATAAAAAATAAGACTACTTTGAGTAGGAGGAAGTACTAGGGTTGTCAACCCTCCAGGATTGGCCTGGAGTCTCCAGGAATTAAAGATTATGTTGTGATGAAATCTCCAGGAATTCTTCCAACCAAAGTTGGCAACCCTAGGAAGTACACCAATACAGAAAGGTATGCTGAATATGCAGAAGTGTGAGAACTTTTCACAACTCCACTGAAAACATGTTCTTTCTTAATGGACCTGATGTCAGTTTGTGCTGGGAAATCACGTGAATCAGTTAAGCTTTTGGGTTCATTTACACCAGAAATTTAAGGATTATGAGCCTGTGGGCCCTAAAAGTAGCTGAGAGCCCAACAGCTTTTCTACTGTGGATCGGAACCAAAAATAGAAATAATAGAAGCTGTAACTGCTCATGAAAATTACATATTTAAAAAATAACCACACTTTTCAGGAATGATTCTAGCAGTTTTAACAGTTAAGCAAGGAAGCAACAAAAACAGGAAGGGCAAGAGGTCATTTTTCATCAGAGTTTGATTAGATTCCAACTTACTGTAGGTTGCTTATTTGCCTGCTGTTATTTGCACAGTATGCAAATAGACTGTACTGAGAAGGTCACAATGTTCAAGAGCTACAAAGTACACTTTTGTATGGCTACTCTTTTGTGCACTTATTTTCTGCAAATGGTTCTGCTGAAATCAAACTGAAGGAAGAGGAGGTGACAGCTTCCTTTGTAACTGTAGACAGAGCTGATAGATGATAAGGCATCTAAGACTAACAACATATGTTTGTATGTCTCCATTGAAGATGACGGGGGAGGGAGAGGGAGCTTTTCATTTTTTTAAAGCAATACGTGAATACAAAGACAACATGGCCCAAACAGCTATAATTCATAAGAATTGGTAAGGGTTCTAATTCTGAATTAAAAGTGAAGTACAGAGACAGAATACAGCAGTTTACATTTAAAAATACACTGTCTAAAGTGTGTACCTACTGTGAACACAATCCTTATAAATAAAAGTATCTATTTTCAATTTTACTTTATACATTTGATAGCACTTTATGCATAGTCAGTATCTCCTTT